TTCCGATTTTTCAGATAGGCACTCTTGATCAAATATTTTATTTGAAACTCAAACTTTGATTTGATTTTGCGGAGCATTGCAGACGAGCATTTGATTATAAAAGGGTAATGGGTGTAAAATACTGGCGAATCGAACGACCTTGGCCATTGTTGCCAATATGAAACTAAAGACAAAGGAAAGACATCAAGAAATCGCAAACATGGAAAGTATTATTGGAACACAAGGTTAGGAGAGAATATCTTTATTCTGTGTTTTACATTACCACTCTCCCTCCTGGAGTAGGGTGGGAGTGGAGGGTTTGACCATATCATATATATATATAATTATTTTTCGAAAGATTTTTATATATCATCTACATCAGGTCTCTTCGGATCATTACCAGCTTCAAAACTTCTTGAAATATCAGCGACGAGAAAATTGTATATATATATATATACGCTTAAATTGTTTTTTACTAAGAAGGAGGGGGAAGGTCTGGGGGGTGTGTAATGTAAAGCAATTAAATTGGTCTCGCCTTATCTTGAAAGCCGTTATGAAAAAATCAATCACAAAATTTGGCAGTTATGATTAGTGTAGTGAAGGGATTCACCGACAGCTATTTCGCTAACGTTTAATTCTAACAAACACTAACTTTAAACAAAAGTGACCCTGGCCATAAATCAGACCAATGGAAAAAGAACTATAGACTATTGTAGCTGAACACCTGATCTTGTTAGAGGTTTAATTGGAGCAATTATTTCACTGGACTTACAAACTGGAGCATTGGACTTATAGATTCCAATTCTGGTTCAAATTTCTAGACTTATAAGGTGACCAACATTGATTGGAACCATTTAATCGTTTAAATTTGTTCCATAGTTCTGGCGGAATTATGTTGGTCGTGGATCGAAATTATTTTAGTGCCGACTGAATTATTACTGTTTTTAAAATAATTGACACATAGCGGACTTGATGAAGCATGAGTTATCTCACGAGTTCGGTGACATGCAGGGGCCACACGCCGTCCGATGATCTTCGCAGAATGATAACTCTGGCCTTTAAGAGATGTGACAGATCCTAAAGGTGTCTAAGGACCTTCAGGATAGCGAAGGGAGGTAAAAAAAAAAAAAAAATAATAATAATAATAATTGACACACTAAAAAGGTTTAAAAATTTTTTTAAGCGTTAACTAGTGTTACGGCCTAAGCCCTTTACCATGTCCACAAACGTTTCGAATTTTGAGTTTCGGTTTCGCCAAAAATCCGAAACTGACCGAAACGTCCGAAATTGGGCGAAACTTATCAACTATCGTTTGCCTAAACAAATCCCTACTCTAACTCTAAAAAAGTAAAAATTTACCGATTTTCTCAATGATATGTGAATTACGAAAAATCACGAAGAAAAATTTTTGTAGGAGATCTACCACTAATAATCAAATTTAGTTGACCAAGTTTCAGATGTTTCGGACGTTTCGCCCAGTTACGGAGGTTTCACATGAGCGAAATTTTGGTTTAGGCCGTAACACTAATATCAGCAAATAAATTTAAGCACTTTATTGCGCATGTACGTCCTGATTTGGTAGAGATACTAATAAATCAAGTTTCATACAGTTTCAGTAGTTTCGCCTAGTTTCGGACATTTCGCCCAGTTTCGGACCTGGAGCCTTGGGCGAAACTAGGCTCGGAAGTTTCGGAAGTTTTGCCCGGCTGAAAGTTTCGTAACACCATGTTAACATATACCAGAACCAAAAATTTATCGATTCGGTCTTTGGCAATTTTTCATTTTCCTGAAATTTATGAGAACAGTTGTTAGTATCGATCAGAACTTCAACCAGTCGTCAAAGATCTTTGACTGAATCGATTACGGTTATGACTGGTCATAACCCTAACCGACCCGTCCCTAGCCTTGGCTATTACTAAGATAGAGTTGTTGGTAAAAGTAATGAACGCAAAATGTTCACTAAATATCAAAAGTCTGCTAATATGGGTCACGGTAATAGAATATACATTGTTATCGACTGGATGAACTCAAAGCATTCATTAAAATCTTTCAAGATGGGATTTGCCAAAGGGATGTTATCATTATGTAACCGGAATAGGTAATGATCATAATATAATTGGAATCTTACCGGAACGTATAATAGTGATTACGGACTCTTGGTAGTTGTTGAAAAGGGATAGGAATTGGAACGAGTGCATATAAGGACATCACAATTCGAAATTGAAGCTACGTACGGTAGATTAAACTATAATTACTGGATGATTTATGCTACATTAGAGCAATTTTTTAAATCTAATTCAACCGATTATGAATCCAGTCCCAAATTAAAATTCTAATTACTATGTCTGGTGTAAATATCATCGACCTGGTAAAAGTTTTAAAAAAGATGAATCTGTTAAATATGATTGATCGGATAAAAGTCATAGTAATTATACCTCCTCGATTGCACATAATAAGTATTTAAGAATGAAGACTTTCATATTAAATAAAGAAAGAGAACTCAGTAGAATTTGATGAATTGAATACAATACTTAAATTTAAGGAAGTAAGAGTACTTACTTAGGACTCCTAATCATTAACGTTAAAAAAAGCATAAACCAATCAATAGTTCTGACACAATCCGGAGCTCGTTACAAATCTAACCATAATTGCAACCTTTTCACGCCATGATTGAAACCATCAAGATTAGAATAGTGTCTGTTTTAGTTGATAGTTTTGTATGACGTTAAACCGAACCAGATCCAAATTAGTTCCCACCTACAGTACACATTATCTTCATGTACACTGATAGTGCTACTACACGTGAAATAAATATCATAAACAAGAAGATCCCTAAAATTCCGGGTCGGAACTCATCGGAACAATGTTTGCTATGACCGACCTTATCGTTATGACATATTATGACATAAAATTTGCTATTATCACCTGTAATGACTGATCTTATCGTTATGACATGTTCTGACTTATAAAATTTATTATTAAATTATTGTTATGAGCACCTTTGTCATGTGAAGTTAGATATGACTAACATTGTATCAGAACGCGATTGGCAATGTTGGAATTAGCCAATTTTGCCCAAGATCATTTTACTAACGAAGTCATTAGCAATTTTCTCTAGACATAGTTGGTTAATTCCGGTCAGATCCGACGAATTCTGACCAAGAATTTTAGAGACTGTCCTATAGGTACGAGAAATCTTGACTAATCATTGGTACGTACCTGCTTTAATAATACCTTTTTCTGCATAACCAAATAAAAATTTAAAAATAATTATATAAGGTTTCATTTAATTTAGAAAATAAACCAACAAACATATAAAATAAAATTTTCTGATTGAATTACTAATTTTAATAGATAAAATTTTTGATAAGAGTACTTACATAATTCTTGTATACACTCTGAAATATTTGCTTATCAGTTAATTTCGAAGAATTCTAAATTAATTGAGAAGGTTAAGCTGGATTCGAACTCAAACTTTTTTGGTCATGACTTTAAATTTATCATAATAATATTTTTAAGAGAAGATATCTAAAGAGGTAACAAAATTTGAGCATGTTCTATTTAAGTGCGATTCCAATTCAAATTTAATATACATAAAATTGTAATTTCATGTAATAATACGCGTCTTTCTTGATAGCTCAACGTACAAATGCATAATGTGTTTCAAGCTTCATGCCATCAGTGGGAATTAGAGATGCGGTTCATGCTATCAGTGAAAACTAGAGATGCGGTAGAAACTGTTACAGCCGATTCTGTAACTATTTAAATCCTGTTTAAAGCTTATACTGTAACTAATTACGGAAGTAACAGTTTCTACTGAGAAACATTCAAAGTATTCACATAGATAGAAAAGTCTATTATCTACATATAATATTTATCGATATAATATAACCGGATATATTTTTTTGTATTCAATTATTCCGATTCACAGTTACAACAACACATTTTGGGACTATTCAAATAAATTTAGTTTACTTTTTTGAAAAGCAATTTAGGATTGAGAATTACTTTTTTAGAACACATAGGAAATTTCTCTTACGACTGTACCAGCACGAGGTCAAACAAATATGCGAATTGATGAATAGACATGAAATTTATATTTAGACAGTATCCACAAAATTTTATAATTAGGATACTCTTGTATTTTAGGTCACTCGATACGAACCAAAATGAAATCCTTGAGATAATAAAAAAGATCATTTCCTCATTTGTATAATTTGTAGAATTAGATCCAGAAGTTATATAAACTTTTTTCGGATTATTTACACTTTTGTTCGACAATCACCGTAATGAACCGGATATTACCGTGAGCTTTTTTTTTTCTCATATAGACCAATCAACAGATTCAGATGTTGATGCATGTTTCTGTGCAGTAGATTATACGTAAATTTTATTTTCGTATATAAAATATTAATAAAAAAAATCAAAATCTTGCCAGATTACGGATCACGTGATCGACTTGGGTAATAAACTAATAAAACGAACTAACTACATTTGTCAGTGTTTATTATCAATAGGTTACTGCGGTTATGTTAGTTTTAACTTTAATAGTACACAAATTATAAGCATGTTACCAACAAAACTTTAGCAATTATAGGTTTAACATCCGGGATTACAAATCAATGTAGACGCCAAACTTGACTAACAGGTTTGGTTTAACACTAAATGGATTTTTATTATCATATACTATATATCACTTATATTGATATCGATACATATACATTTATTATTTACATATTTACGGAATTCATGAGACTTCGAAAAAAAGGACTTTGTGAAATCTTGTTTATGCCAGAAAAAAAAACACGTGGAAATTGTCTTGGTCAAATAATCGGTAAGTTCTTAGATCTTATAGATAATTCTATGTATCAAATTACAATTTTGTACATCTCTTACAGCTCATAACTCTTATTTTCTTAACAATTATTAAAACATGTTGTAAAGAATCTAATATATACTATAATACAGTGTTCTAAGAGAAAAAGAAAATTTTTATAATAACTAAATTTTTCCTCACTAATTTATTTACTGTTCGGATATTGTGTAAATAAGACTATCGCCAATCTTCCCATTCCATAGGAAAATTCGAATGTGAATTGAATGTATTCCTCTAAATCGCTTTGTAACTCTTGACAGATCGTTCCGATATCTCTGTGATCTAAAAGCAATTCTAAAATGTTCTCTCGAAGCGGAATAAATGGTGCGGGGTTGCCAAGTTCGATTTGCGGAATGATATTGTCGAGAATATCTGAAAATGCAACATCTAAACTTTCGCGAATCATTGGATTGGGAAGGTTTTTATTAAGTGCACATGAGCAGATGGCTTTAAACGCCCAACGAAGGTAATTACGGGTATCCATCGGAATTAAGCCTACATCGTCGATACTTCTTAATTTCAATTTAAGTGAGTATAAATTTTGTAATACCCGTTGAAGATCTGGTCCGTCCCCACGATTATAAGGAAAAGGAGAAGGTATATCATAAGGAACCCAACTTGTGTATCTCTCTTGACTCCAATACCCCATCTCTTGAAATTCCTTATTTTTTTTAAAAAAAATGACAAAAAAATTCCGAATTATGCTTCTTTTATATTTTATTTGTTTATGTATAAAAATCGACAGCACTATGACGTAATAATTTTCGTTACAATGACCGTTTTTGAATCATCGAAAGCCGAGCTTTTTTTTCAATAAACAATTATATTTAATTATTTTGAGGACCATTTAACCCTTGATTCTCATGATCATTTGAATCGCTTCTTAAGTGAATTAATTACCAATTTATTCAGGAATATAATTATTCCTGAAGTTAAAACCTATCATAATTTTGCGCAGTTTGCAGTTTATTGATTTCTAATAATAGTAACAAATATATGGAATTTTCCATTGCTTAATTGTTTACTCCCGAATTAATCAGCAACAGTTTAAATATTATCTTACTAAAGTGAAATAGTGACGCATATTTACGAATATCTGTCCGATTTAATCCGTTTGATGATGTGTGCATTTTTTTTTCCGGAGAATAAAGTGCGACACGCGTGAGATCATCAAATCAAAATTACAGATCTAGAAATTTCTTTACTAATTTTTTGTATGTACTTACGTACGCAATGTAAGCAATGTACGCAATGTACGCAATTTACTTATGTACGATTTACAACTAATTTCTCCAAATTTGCTATAATTAGAAATCTTCGTTTCTAGTATGAGATTAAATGCATAGAATACAGTATCAATACTCTAATTAACAGTTAGGACGAATAATACATACTAATTATAAAAGACAAGAGTTCAAATTTATTTTTCATATAACTCTAACACAACAAATACTGCAAATCCAGTTAATTTTTGTACATAAGTCCGTCCGTACTACCTTGCTGAATACTTCTGTTATAGTTTAGGAATTACAGCACTCTTTCTAACTGGTTTACGTAAACCATTTGAAAACTAATTTCATCTATGAACACCTCCTCACAAATTTTATATTTAGAAATTTCTTTCTTTATCTAGGTTTATATAATGCATTTCTTAGTACACTATTTCCAATAACTTTTATTTTATTCAATGACAAAGAAAACAATAAAAATAAGAAATGAAATCATAAACAATGAATGGAACTAAGTCAATTGCCATTGTTAGATGATAGGTTACATAACATTATCACTTGGAGTTCTATTAATGAGTTTCTTTCGCTTATAGAGACACATTAGAAAAGATATTTTCCATTGTAAACATATGTTTACTTGTTAGTAGGTTAGGTTGGGTTGATCCAATCTTCGACCCGCACCATTAAATTAAACTTTGCTCCAGGTTCTACTCCGGATGCTTCAAACCTGCTTCAGATTGCCACAAATTAATATACATATTTTTAAACCCCACTCCAATATGGTTTGGGTTCGGTCCGGAGTATGCCCCTCCATTAACAACATAGCATAACCAATTGATGGATATGAATTCAAATGCCATTCAGTTTACACTTTATATTACCATTTTTTTATAATAGTATCCTATTGGATTATTGTGCTTTTGAACCAATTAATTTAATATTTACTATATTGTTTGGATCAGCTATCTTTTGCAATTTATTTTTTTTTGTAAATATTAAGCTTAATCATAAACAGTAAAGGAAGTGCACTTCAAATTCCTGAAAATTTAAAATCCCGACATGCCACGGAACGGACCTATCATAACCATCAAGATCAGTTACATACGGAGTTACATACAGAGTTTCAAATGATAAGAATAAGATAGGTTATTATGACGATTTCTGATACCTGTGATTAATCTGATAAACCCCCTTTTTTTTACGTATCTAGATTAGAGTATTCTGCTCTAACTGACAAATTCTGCTGCGATTATCGTTAATTTGCAGATTCTGCGGTGAAGTATAAATAATACTTTAAAAAAAAAATTCAAACAAAAGAAATTGTAATTTTATACCGTTCGCATAATTTCGTGCGAATTTTTTTCCTACCAATCATTTAATAGGAAATTTTGCAGATTCTGGTTTAGCAGATTTTTTCTGCTTTTCTTGGCAAAACTGCAGATTCTACCACCGCAGATTTCTGGACACTCTAAATATAGATATCAAAATGTTTGTTTTAAAAAACCAACAAATTTATTGAAGCTAATATTCAACACTTAAATCAGGTAAATTGCAAGGAAAAGAAGATAAAAAAAACCAAATGAAGAAATAATAATGAAATGGTATAGATTCTGGACGTAATAATTTTAAAGCATTATTACACATGCTGTCAAAAACACAGAAAAATATCAACTAGTTAAATAATAAGCAATGGATATGCTTTGGTTTTTATTTTTTAATAACCCAATTTTTGTATTAATTCTCTTGACAAAATAAATGCATCATTTTTTTAAAAAAATGTATTTATTATGTTTACTAAAAATTTTAATAATTTAGATTCAACGAAATTCGAATTATCTTTTTATTGTAGAAGCTGAACAAATCAAGTGAGGGATCTTATATGGTTGAATAAATGAGGCAGATGCTAAAGAAACCGAACTAAATTAGAAATTGTAAAAAAATATTTTCGACCTAAGGCCACACAAATTTAATATCTTTGGTTTTCATAACATGATACTTGTAAACAGACCAGGTAGTCAGCTTGTTTTTTTTTTAAACTTCATATATAAAATTTTTTTTGGATCAATTATAAATTATTATTTATTTTACTCGTATAAAAGTTATTGAACATACTTATTCACCACATAATTTTAAAAAGTAGAAATTCAACCTACTTGCTTACCCGAAACCGTAATTTGAATGCTTAACCTGAAGTTATGCTTAACCGGTTGACCTGTCTAATATATGTATAATATGTCAAAACATAAACAATCAGCTAAGAATCAGTACCTGATTGCTAACTTATTACCATTTGATTAGTGACGATTTTTGTAGCTACAAAATTTGTTATTAATCAGACAGTAATTAGATTAAAATCAGGTGCCTGATTCTTCGATTAGTGTTTGTTTATATGATTTTTCCGACGATCATTTCTCTGACACCTAATTCCTACCACCACTAGCTCAAAAATCAGGCCAACTTAATTCTAAATCGAGCCAACCTTAAGTTTTGTGAAAACGAAAAGACTAATACTATAATAAATGAGTATATATTAATTAATTTTTGATTTAAAAGGGATTCGGATAACGAACTATGTACAAATTGCAGCTGATATAACATTTATCGCTTGATGTCAGACACACAAGGATTGAAAACAGAAAATATAATTATATTAAAAATAATCAACCTAAAGCCACATCTTATTAATATGTAATAGAGTGGATTCCTTTTAATGGATTAGAAAATATTCAAAAGATTGATGAAAAAGGGTTGGCTCAGTATTTTCAGTGGCATTGTTATGTTATTCCTATATTCACGTTCATGAAGATTTTCATAGTGTTAATATAATGCTAAATCAATTTAAATAGAGTTCTAATATTTTTAGGGTTATCTAGAAAGATGTGTCAGATTTAAAAGGTAGTATTTGCGGAGTTTTACTTTATATTGTTCCGGAAGTATTAAATAATCGACCACATACAATACTTGCAATGAACGTTTACAGAAAGACCAATATTAAGCATGATAATGCATTGGCTATTTAAAGATATAATGGATTACATTCTAAATTTGCCAAAGGCACCCCTGAATATTATACGTATTCAATCGGACAAATCAATTGTGTTGATGCTATTCCTTCCAATAGGCTAGCTGTGTTTTATGTCTATAATAAAAATGAATTAACATATTGATTTGCAGATGCAATTATTCCAACATTATATATACTGAGTTACTAATATGTCCTAAAGATAACCGACAAACATATCTTTTTGAGCTAATTATGCAGAATCGCTAAATATTTATGATAAATATCACGGGTTAGCAGATTACTCGGATTATGTTTAGTAACTCGATTTTGTATCCGGATAATATTTATGCCGAGTTGAATTTCTATTAACTGTTAAGTTTTTTTGATCTTTCGTAAAAAACATGATCAACATTAAAAAAATATTGAATCAAACTTCACACTGTTCCAAAAAGTGATAATGATATAAAGAAATTAAAAACGGAGTTATTAAGTACGTATGTAACTAGTGTTAACTCTAAGCTACTTATTTTGTGTATATATGTGGAATGAATTAAATAAATATATATTTCATTGCCAATAAATAAATGATTTCCAAAAAAAAAGTACTAGAAAATAAAGTCTCAATTATATTAATAGATGTTTTTTTAGAAAATTTTGTCAGAATTTTCGGATGCACCGTTTATTCTTCATTAATCAAAATTTTAAGCATATCGAAAATGTGTACAAGGTTGTTGGCGCAGATCTCCTGAACTACGAATCAGATTTCAAGATTAGGTGTAACTTAACACGGTCAAAAACAAACGTTCGTTCTGCCAAAAATTGCTCATAGCAAAAAAATCAGCATAGGAAACAATAATAAAAAGTTTTCGTTGAACAATTTTACTATATAAACTATTCCCATCTAGATTCTAACTTTAACCCTAACCCTAACCTTAACGAATTAAGAATTTAGTCTTCGCCGCCAACCTTGTACACATTTACGATATGCAATTTTAAATACCGAGTACGTAACTGATATTGATGGCTATGTTAAAGTCGTTCAATGTTTACTGGCCTATAGTTTTTTTCGTGAATCCCTCCGAGCTAAAGATAAGATTTTGAATTAACTTAATAACGGTCATGATTGTCAATAGAACTCTTTTATTTACGTGTTAAATAACATATTTTTAAGGTTTAATACTAAATATCATAATGTCATTAACAGAACTTTCATTAAATGTTAATTCTCTTTCGTTCATTTACGCGTTAAATTACCGGTTTACAAATGGTTACGCCTAGTGATGTGTCGCGTATAGTATGTACTGTATGCTAAAATTTTTGCCGATCACTTTTGCCAGCCAATCAGATGCCGGAAAAGAACTATACAACAATACGTACAGAACGTACTGTACGCACTGTACGCTAAAATTTTTCAGG